CGCGGGGCGCGGCGCGGCCCTGACAGCCTTGGGGGGGCTCTCCTGCAGGGCGAGGTTCCTCGCCGGTTGCCCTTGAGGAGAAGAGCGGAGGTGCCCCCTGGAGCCGGGCTGCCCCTTGCAGAGCCGTGTGGGAGGAAAGCGGGGCTCCCAGGGGGTCTTTCCCTCAGCCCCCGGTGAAGAGGTGTGGGGCGACCCCAGCCCCCGCTGGAGCTGGCTTATCTGCTCACACGCTCCTTAGCAATGAGGGGGTTTATTAATTGCTTGTGTTAATTAGCTATCTGTCTAGAACACCTGGGGTAGCAGCCCTGCGATGCTGAACCAGGTGAGGGTGGGGACAGAGTCAAGCGCTGCGTGTGGCACCGGACGCCTGGAGGAGGCCTGCACCTATGTGCTAGGTCAGCCCGAGCAAAGGTCTTGTGGTCGGATCGGGCAGGAACTTCCCCTAAAATTATTTGCCTGTGCTGCTGATACAAATGTGAATTAGCTAGGTTGTGGCTTGCAGCCTCTTGCTTCCTCCCTGGAAAACCTGCCGAGGCAGAATGTAGCACTAAACTGTGTTTGTTCTAAGGCTTAAAATGGGCTCTCATCCAACGGCTCTTCTAGATGCTTTTCCACTTCCATTCTTCCCTGGGTTATGTTTTTGGATTCAGTGAAGCTGCAGGAAACACAGCCTGTGTTTATTGTTCAGTGCAGTTGACTTCTCTCCCCACTAGGAAATGACTTGCTTTTGATCTCATCTCCCCCATAAGCTGTGTGATTCCATGATCTGTTTTCTACTTGCTTTAGTATGACAAAGCTGCTGTCAAGTTTTAGCCTTAGGCTGCTAAAATCTGAGCCTGGAACTTTCCCAGATACATGAGTCTGGATGGCTTCTGCGGCTCGGAAGTCTTAGGTGTTATAGGTTTCTAACTGCATGCGGGCTCGCGTAGTGTCTTGTTGGGCAACATTTGCTTGATTGCTATCAGATCTGTAGCTACTGGTTTTTTCCTATACTAAAAGCTGTACTTGTCCCCGTGAGTTTTGCTTGGAGGGACAATCTCTAATCTGAAGAGATGCCACCAAACTGCCTGCTTCCATATTTTCCCTGTCAGAAGGGAGGCATCGCTTCTCTTATGTAGAAGTGCCCTGTTACTGACATCTAGTGACAAAGATACCTGGCGTTCTTTGGGCTGCAAAGTGGCCATGTTCCAGGGAGAGCATTTGAGATACCTTTGAGGGGTGTTATGGTCAGCTTCCTCCTCCTCCTGAGAGAGCACAGTTATGGCCTTTGAAGAGTTGAGTCTTGAGGCTGTAAAGGGCTACATGTTGAGTTCTTTGAAGCACAGATGACTGGAAATGCACTCTGCTTTGATAGGTTGAGTGTGTGTGTGTGTGTGATGAAATGGGAACAATCATTAAGACAAAATGGGCTTTGTAAAGAAACTTCCTGTGATCCTAGTTAAACTTTTCTTGTCTCATCCCTGCATCAAGAAATGATAAAGCCAAGGCTGTCTCTTGCGCTGGTTTTCTAAGCTTGTACTACTAAAGACCATTAGAGTATTTAAAGGCTGTTCTTGGGGTTAACTGGAGGACGGATGGAAGTACAGCCTGGGGTGCCAAAATATGATTGGTCTGTACGGCAGAGTCAGCTTCTCTCCTTTAGTGAATGACCTACAGAGTCAAAAGTTGCTAGCAAGCCATATATTATTTTGATCTCAGCAGGAGGTTGGCAGCTCAGCTAAAAGCTTGCAGGCTGAGGCACAGAATGTGAAATGCAGTTATCTACTCTACAGTAATAGCAAGAGAAACACTGGCAAGCCAGGGCACCTAGACCATTACCGGTCTGCAGAATAGAAGCTCTTACTCAAACTGCAGTCCATATCTCTAACCTCTTCTGTTAGAAGATGAATAGAATGCAAGTCGCAGTTCAGGTTTCTAGCTCACAAGTGAAAAGCAAGTAGAAGTTGCTTCAGACTGACATTAAAACTGCCTTGGAAGAACTGGTAGAAATGGAAGAAGGTATTGGGGCTGTTCAGATAAGGTTGTACTCAAAATAAGGTGGAGTGGTGTGTTGAACACTGTTCCTGTGATGTTTTACCAGAGTATGGGAGCTTCTGGTGTTTCCCCATGTCAGTATTTATCTCTTGTTACTCTTCAGACTGGCTGTGTCCAGTATGGCATGCAGTAGGCTCTAGGAGGAGAGCCTGGTACGAGTTGAACGTGCTTCTCTTCCTGCCAACTGGTTATGGGGATTTATGGGATTGGGTTTAAAATAGGAATGTTTTCTCTGAAACTGATGGCTTTATCTCAGTAGCTCTTTAGCTCACGGTGTACCTCTTAATTTAATTATGCAGCCTGTCTTCCTCAGTATGAAGCGATTGCAGCTTATTTAAAACCAAGCACAGCCCATGGCCTCCTGGAAAGTGGCTAATGCAGCCCTCTAAGCAAAGCTTAGATGCTCGGATTAGCTGGTGGGGTGATGACATCGTTGTAAGCTCTAAGCCTTTTGGTTTGATAATGGCTAGCGCTAGCCTGAAAAGACTGGTTTTCTGAATAACTCCAGCTTGCCAGAGCAGCCTGACTAATCCCCCTCCTGCTTCAACTGTTGTCACTTGTCCAAGATCACACTGACTTCTGGAATGCAGAAATTGTTACAGTTGGTGATTTACCCTCAGCCCTCTGGGTGAAAGCTGCAGTACTTCTCCTGGTTTCTGACTGGATGAGAACTCTAGCAGCTAATGTACCTTGAACTGCTTAGTTAGATAAGCTCATTAATGCACAGAAGTCTTACTGTTAAGTCAGAACCCAAACTTTCTTTTAATAGACTACTAAATGGGTTGGTTGCTTTACACCAGCTTATTAACTGACTTGTGGTTGCTGTTTCCTAGATGTGCTGTGTAGACTAGAGAAATAAGCATTCCTGTTTTCATTCAAACTAAGTGATGTCTGTGCTTTGAGCTCCTTAATGGGAGTAACAAAGCCCAGAGTAGCTGGGTCTTGGGCTCTCTACTGATCATCTTGTGTTTGTTCATATGCTGTACTTAATGGCACAGGACGCTCGATGAAGCTAACCGCTGGTCTCACGCTGGGACTCTGACCAAAATGGCTTTGCAGATGAGCAGGAGACCCCTCAGTTCTGCTGATCAAGCCTTGGTGGCTTGCTCTGTCAGTGGCTGAGTTGAAGGTAGCAGGCAGACTGCGTTGCATGCTTTCTTTTGCTACCTGTAGTGCTAGGCTTTTTCTGGAGAGGCATCTCTGTAGGGAGAATAGCATCTGCACAGTTGGCTCAGTAAAATACAGCTGATCCCAAAGGTGCATTCTAAAATGAATGGAGAAATGCACTCAGTGCTATTGGGATGCTACCAGTGCTCGCCAAATCCTGAGGCTGTTGGTGCTTGGATGGTGGTGTGAAACTGTAGTTGTATTGCTAGGGGTAGCATAAGAACTGTCGCTGCTGTCAGGCTGCTTCTGAGCGTTTATTCTTGAACTGCACTGTTACCACTGCACCTCTGAAGAGACAACGTAGAGGATTTGCTGAGCAGACGTGCCCTGATAGTGGCCAGGCCTGGGTCAAGGCTTCAGGAGCTTCTGCCTGCACTGAACTTCAAGAAACTGGTGTGGGAGGACAGAGACAACTGCATTTGCTCTTTCCTGAGGCAGAAATACTAATATATGCCCAAAGTTTATGGTGGCTTTGGTACTGATAGGCTGTAGGCACATTACTAATGACCTGTTCCCTCCAGACAGTACCTCATTCTTCTACAGCTAGAACAAGTGTCTCTTGCCTGGATGTGAAGCTGCAGTTACTGCAACCATGTTGCCTCGTACCACTGCACAAAACCGACTAACAATTCACTATTTTTCCTAAGCAATGGATTTGAGCAAGCCAACTTTTTAAAATTTTTTTGTTTTCATCTGTGCAAATACAGTTACAAAAGGCAGACAACTGTGTTCTGAAGTTTGTGGTATAGGTTGAAGCTAGCACTGTTCCTGCTGGTGCAGGGAAGGATTAATGTTCTATGTGGTGTCACCTGAAAACTTCAGGTTATGGGACAAATGTATTGGAAAAAATCACGTTTGAATGTTTGTATGTCTGGGATTTAGGCTAGAGTTCAGCTTTGTCTTTCATACCCTAATGAAGAGATGACTATGGTACTACAGTGGTGTCTTGTTACTGGTGTGATGCTACAGCTTCTCAGGTAGAGAGACCATGGGAGGCTAATGCACTGTACAAAGACTGGAGAATTGTGCTGTTTGCTGTGGTGTTTCTGGAGGAGTCACTGCAGATACAAAACACTGCAGAGGGAACAAACTATGCTTGCTTAGTCCATTCCTTACATCTGCCTTGTTCAGTCTAAGAAAGCTCTGTGCTGTATGTTGTTCATTTTTTCTACAGCTATTCTAGGTCAGAATCCACAAAGAAGCAATGGAAGTGGAAGGCTGGGCTCTTACATGCTACAGGAGGGAGCTGCTGCATTTAGCAAGTGGAGATTCAGGTTTAGTGCATCATCTCACTAGGTAACTCCCAGTTCAGCTGCTTGTTGCATCCCAGAGTGCATGAAGCTACTGACAGCCCAGTGACAGGATCCTGCTGTCCAAGCCTGTGCTCCTGACTGCACCCACCCATTCCAAGCGTGTGGCACAATGTAGGGCAAAGTCTGATGGCTTTTGGAGAACCACCTGTCTTTAGGTTAGACCCAATAAAAAGAGCATTTTCCTTCTATGATAGAATCAGTGGGGAAAAAGCAGGTCTTGAGCTACTGTGCTTTATTGCGTCTTTATCTTTCTCTGGACTCCCTTGGTTATGGTCTGCAGTTAACCTGCTGCAGACTGGCTTTGGGGGCTTTCATCTAAGGTATGGTGATGGTTTGAGAGATGCACATTCTCTGCACAGTGTGACCAGTGACATGATTTGAGGTGAGTATGCTTGATTCTTTTAAGAAGATGCACGTTACCGTGTTGGACATTGTAGGTCCAGCTAATCCTACCGCTTTTCGGTTATGTAACTACTGAAATGCATTCAAATCCACATCCCAGCATTTCATTTTTATATGTGCTTGTTTTTTTGTAGCTGGGTGTCTTAATGTTGTAACTTTGCCACAGTTGCTATAAAGGTGTATCTTAATGCTCTCATTTTCACTGAAGTGAAAAGGCATTCTGGAAAGGCATTTCCACATAGCCTTAACTCCTAGTGGGTTTATAAGCATGTGTAAGTATGTGGTCTGTCTATGATGCTCTTCATCATCCTTTTCCTTTCTATTTAAGAGTATATGGGAGTGTGTGTACTTGGCAGCAGAGTAGAAAGCATACTGGCCTTGGGTTATTTGTAGAAGCCACATTCTGATGTTAGATCTCACTCCTAACCCAGTAGCTAGCTGCTTGAAGAATGCAGAGTGTATTGGGAGAGGACTGTTGTTCCTAAATTAGGGTGATTAGTCACCAACTGGTGTGACTTCAGCATACATATGGATCTTCTCTGTACCTTAACTAGAATAAATCCATTCATGCTATAACTAAAAAACAGAGCTGTAGCTAGCGGTGTGGAGCAGGTCACCATATGTTCAAGCCAGTGAAACAGAAGGAGCGGAGCTGCAAGGCTCTGAAAATGCAGCTGATGGACCATGAACCCAAAGACTTCAGCTAGAGTTATCTTGGTTTCCAGGCGCTTAATGATAAACAGTTGAAGTGATGGGCTTTGGTCTTAAACTGTGTCTTGCAATGAGCTATTAGCTCCCTAGAAAAGGCTGACTGTGGAGAGGAGCAGAATGAGTCATTGGAAGCTGATTGAGCAATGCTGGGAAGCTTTCTGAGTCATGTCGCTTATGCACAGCGAGCAGAGGAACCCATCTCCCGTGGTGGATTTCTTATTCTGGGGCTTTCTGATTCTAGCAGCCGTGAGTCACTGAATGTCAGTCTCAAATTAATTTGAGCCCTGTTCCCTGCAGTTCTTAACCATTGCAAGCACTAGGACCTTTCCTTTTCAAAGCTGATCTGAAAAGAAAACTATACATTACTTTAAAATGTGTGGAATATCATACAAAGTCTAAACTGCTAAAAACCTCATTCTAGTTGCAGTGTAACCTTGAGATAGTTGAAATGAGTATCTGTGCAACTTCTACTGAAACACAAATGAGGATCAAAACAAAGCAGGCTTATTTTCACTGCTGCCACTTCAAGGAGAGCCATTGTCATCTTAAAGAGCCATTCTTCTTGCTAAGCTTTAAGCAACTTTCTTTTGCATGCTGCCCTTTGTATAGCTTTCCTCTCATCTGTTCATATATCTCTGGGCTAGTTATTCTACTGCTTGAGTTTCCAGCTGTGTGGACATGCTCCCATTAGCTGATGGAAGTAACTCTGTAGTGGGGAGGGAGTACTGTCACTCTGATCTTGTATCTGGGAGGGATGTAATGCAAGGCTTGAGCAGAATACTGGAATATTGCCAGTGTTCCCTGAACTTCTGTCATGGGCAAGCTTGGTGAAGACCCCCTGAGAGAATGGCGCTGCACCAGACTGGACTAGCTGCAAGCTGTGTCAATGCTGTTGTGCTGTCTATGCTTGTGACGCTGGGAACTCTTCAAGATGCTGGACTGCAGAAGTTGAACAGAGCAAGGAAGATTTGCCTGTAATTGTGTTAAATACCTTGTGCGCTTGAGGCCTCTTTGGTCCCTGATGTTATTAGATGGGAGCACAGCAAGAGGTTTATGCTGCATATGTCCTTCAACTGCTGCAGAGACCTGACAGATAGTTGGTACAGTTGGGTTAGTCATCTGAAACTGTTTCCTTGTATTCACTGTCCTTAGCCCACGTGACTTTGCTTCGTACCTGGAAACGCTTTACCAGTTGTCTGACACAAATCAAGTTAGGTAAATTGCACTTAAATGTGAATTCAGGTTTAATCTGTAGAGCTGTAGGATTGTGGGGGTTTCTTCAGGCTTGAGGATGATCGAAACTGGTATGGAGGCAAGCTGCTATTATATGTGAAATAACACTGGTGCGTTATCTTTTGGGTATGTTTATGCTGGTAGGCTGCCATTATAAAACAAACTGGCAGAATGGGCCTGATCCTGTGGCTAAATCTGTAGTAAGTGAAACTGCCACCTCAGGTGTTAACCCAGGTGTTCAAACAACACTGGGCCAGTCCCTTTCTGACTTTGAGCAATAGCGAGTTGCTGATGCATCAGCTGTTTGGTGGCAAATCTCTCTGCATGCTCCTATTTTGTCACAAATGAGGATTTGCAATAAGAGCAATCCTGGTCAGTAGTCATGGTGTGGAGAGTGTGCATGTATGTAGACAGGAGGGTATTCAGAGCTGTAAGGGCAAAGGAAGTCAAAAATGGCGTAGAGGTGCAGTGATGGGACTATAAAATTGCACACTAAATTCAAGGTACATAAATGTACATGTGCATATAGCAAGTAGGTGGATTAAGGAGCAAAGGCAATTCTAGCTTCACCTGTAATGTGGTTAATCACCTTGAAGACCGAATTCAGTGTGATCTTAGAGTTAGGAGAGATGATGAAATTATTAGCTTCTTGCTGAGTGGTGGTTTAAAAATGTAAGTCAACTGTCAAGAACCACTAGTAAAAGATCAAAGCAGGATATGTACGATTGTCATATTGTCTGTATCGTGGTTTGCTTACATCTTGAATAACTTGTGCAGTTTTGTGCTTGCTTCCAGAAGGAAAATGTTTAGAGGTAGTCACTGAGAAGGACCAAAGCATAAAGCAATTTCCTTGTGAAGAGCAACTGAGTAAGGTGGGAATACCTTATTCTGGGAAAGGGGCAATGAAGGCAGTGGAGATCTGCAAAATCCTGAGTGGCCTGGAGATAGAGTATGGGGGCTAGTTCTTAGTTGCTTCTTCCTGCATTTGAACTGGAGGCCATTAAACAAAACTGTGGGAAGGAAGAAGAAGCAGGCTTAAAACAAAAAGGAGGGTGTTCTATACAGTGGTTATAAAACTGTAGACTTTTTTTTTTTTGCCATGGGATGCTGCTGACGCAGAGATTTGAGAGGAAACTGGGCAAATGCTCTAAAGAGATCCATTGAGAGTTCTAAAATAAACAAGCCATTGCAGGGGGATTTGCTGGGGAACGTTTTCTTGACCTGTCCTTACTGTTATCTGACTGTCCTTTCATTGCTGACATCGGAGACAAGGCACTAAGCTAACAGATGTGCAGTATGAACCAATGTGGCTCTTAAATGTACAGATGAAGCTGGTTAGGTTAGGAGCTAACTGTGCGTGGAAAGTTTGAAGCCTGAACTCTGTTCCCAGTATATTTGTATAAGGAAGAAAAGGAAGAAGCCTAACACTTCTTTGCATTGTCGAAGAATTTTTGAAATACTAAAACCACTTTAATCATGCTGTATCTACTCTCCATCTAATGTGTTTTTACTAAGATATAAGATAAGCAAGTAGTTGACTCTGCTGCCTAATACTGTGATGCAATTAAAAATTATATTTTTGCCTGTAACTTAAGGGAAGCTGTTACAGAATATGTTCTAACCTAACATTTGAGAACACATAGGCTCATTATCTCAATCAATATTAAAAGTTTGTAGATCTTAAGAGAAGGCTTTTAATTTCTAACACTAAGCTTGATCAGTAGTCTACATGTCTTATAGTAATGTAGTAAATATTCAAATCAAGGCTTTTTCAGAAAGCGATTGGATTGTCACGCTAGCAAGAGGCTTTGTCTTGTATATGCTGTGGGTCTGATCCTGTTGCTCATCAAAGCAGATGTTTCCTTTATGCTAAAAATAGTGAAACAAATACCTTAAGCAGCATTAAAACCCAAGAGGGAGATTTTTTTTTTAAGACTATGATGTGCTTTCTAGGAATCTTCTGGAAAGGGTTTGTAGGATTCATATGATCCAGCTTTGACCAGTTGCATAAGCTTCCAGGAAACTATTCTATGCAATGGTAAGTCTCAAAGACAATGCAGGAACTCTTCTTCACCTTTGGTAGCAATAATCCATATCTGAATGTGGAAGCCAGCACTGCAGCAGTCTGAAAAGACATCCTTGTCTCTTACCTGGAATGAAAAAGTACTAATTGGGAAAGAATGTCCTCAGGTGGGCAACAAGTTGCCTTTATTATCATAATGGTGTTCTCTTTTTTTTTTTTTTTTAAAATCATTTGGCCTGAGCAAATGACCATTCAAATGCTTGCTGAATTACAACTTCAGCATCTGCCAGACTTGTTGGGCAACTGTATTCAAATAGATGTTCTCCATGTTTTAGATTCTAGCCCTGCATGTTGTTACCTTTAGTGGCCTCCATTATGCATGTTGGGGCCATGTGTGTTTCATGTAAGTAGCCATGAATCTGTGGTACAACCATTTCCTCAAATTTGAAAACCTGGTTTGGTTCTGTTGACCAACAGCATTGTCTCTGTCTTCTGGCGTGGGGATGCTGGCCTTGCTGCCAGCTACACCGTGTAGCCTCTGTCCCCCTAGTGAGCAGCTACAGACAGCACTTCCCTCTCTGGAACTGCATGGGAATCTCAGACTGTGTGCTGCCTCTGTCTTAATAGGTTTGGTTACAGGGTCTTACTCTGGAAGTAAATGAAATACTTGTATCCTGAAGTTACAAAGTGTTACTAATGGGAATGGAAGAAAAATATATTTGAAAACCTTTTCTATGCTAGATGGAGCCTCAGACATCAAAAAAATGTTGCTGGCAGTGCCACATGAAGCCACTGATGAATGGCAGTAGGCAGCCTGTTAATAGCCAGAACCGCTCAACCAGCAGAATGTAGGAGTAAAAGCCAGGAAGCTCACTGTTGAGCTTTGAAAACTGCTCGTCTGTCTGTTTCTTGCTATTTTGACTTAACAACTGACTTTTTGATTTTTTTTTTATTTTTTTTCCTTTTAATGAGCAGAAGCAGCCATCTGGTAGCTGAAGACCCACAGCAGAGAAGTGTGTATAATGTTACTCTCTGAGGACTCATTAGGTGCAACTAAAAATGTTGGTGTAAAGGCTCATGAAATTTAAAGTTTCATTTTTGTCTTTTTGAAAGTAAAAGTAGTGGCTGCACTATAAATCTTGTTTTAGCACAGAACACATCTGCAGTAGTTCCTTCAAATAGGCAGCTGCTTTAGATTCTTGAACATAAGTTCTAGAGGATACATTACTCTTAATACTCCAGGCTTCTACCCTGGAAGTCCTTTTGTCCCTCTGTGTGTATTTTGTATTCATTTTTTCCTGACCTTTGAGATGATCTGAGGCCAGGTCATTTTAAGTTAATCTTTGTTGTGTTCCTGAACAAACACATATCACTTCACTGTCAGCATCCGTCTCTAGACTAGCCTCTCCCTATCTTTCCACCCACCCCAGACGAGTGGGTGTAGGCTAACCCACAGTGTGGAGATGGTTGGTTATCTAATGCTCAGCAGTGCCAAAACTGAGAAATATTTATGTGATCATCCCAAGACCTAGTCATGAGGCTTGTCCTGTCATATTTGTAGTGTTCTTCCCTGGGCTAAGCCAACCAAGCAGTTGCTAGAGTGGGTATTAGGACTTAAGCTGAAGTGAATAGGAATGCATATGACTACAGGAATGGGATCTGGTAAAGTAGCTCTGTATTTAAAAAAAAAACCAAAAAATAAAATCAAACTGTCTTCTGCCTTAGTAATGTCTACCAGCTTTGTAGTTCTCTTCAAAACAATCTTCCTTTGAAGAAAGAGATTGGCGGTTTAAGAGGGTAACTTCTGAGGCACTAGCCCCCAGCTGAAGTGGCTCATGGTTGAGATCTCCCACTCCAGTGGTGCCTTGTGGCCAGGCTGCTCCCAGTTTGGACTCTGAAGTGTTACTTGGTGCTGCTGCTAGGGATCAGCAAAGGCTGTGGAGTTGCTACATAAAAATTATTTTTTTGAACAAGCACTCCAGATGCCTAAGGTCAAGAAGCTTAGCTTAAGTAACTAGGATAACCCCATTCCTCTGATCACCTCTTATGCTGTAGTCGTACATCTCAAATACAAGATGCTAGAAATTAGGTCTGAGGACTCTCACTGAAGACACTAACTCCAGGCTGTGAAAGCAGTTAAAACATAACTGTATATAGACTCCACATGTGTTGTAGCAGTTCCCCATCACCCTTTGCTCTATTAAACCAGTGAGCTGCTTTTGGTCTCACAGCTGCACTGTTGCTGGTACGTGGATAAGAAATACTCTGAATGAGCTGTTGTCTAAAAAGCTTACCTGACAAATGACAATTTCTGGTTATTTATATCTAGTTATTAATGCAGCCTGTACTACTACACAGCTATATGATCCCAAGTAGATCTGTGAATTTTGTCAAGATGGTGCTTAAATAATCCTTACCTGCAAACATAATGGTTAGAAAGGTTGAATTGTTGGACCAACTAGATCAGTGGTTGCTGCTGTGTAATCATTAGCTCTTTAAGTTCAGCAGTCTTTCTAGGCTTTTGTAAAAGCAGTAGTAAGTCAAGGTGTACTTGTCAAACACTTGTGCAAAAAGCCTAAGAACTGAATCTGATTTGCATCTTGGTCAGTGGGAAGATAGATACTTTAAAGTAGAAATAAAGGATCTTGGATTTGCTTGTACTTCTAAGCCTGTGGGTTTTCTCGCTTTTAGGGGATAGACCAGATATTACTAATACTTGAGGCTTGATCCATCCATACTGATGAATGGAATGAAAAGTAAGCCTGCATCTATTTCAGTGCTAGTTTTAATCTTCAGTCCCTGGCTACAAATTGCAGTCACGTGCAGAGCCTCATGTGTGTTAGGATGCACGGTGGGCTTCCTTGTTGAGTCCTTGTTATCATGTGCCCCAGAGGGGCAGTTCTACAGCAAACATGAGGGAACGCTGATCTGGAGAGGCTGGCCTGTAGTTAAGGGCGTAGGTCATGGTATATACAGTCTGCACTGTGCATTGGGAATGCACACTTTTCTATATAGAAATCCCAGCAGATCAAAACGTGTAATCTGTAACTGCAGCAGTAAGGCTACTTCCTTCCTCTTCAGAGTAAAATGCTATTTCTAATAGTCCTTTATGAGTAAGGAGCTCTGTACTCTCCTCTCCAGAATGAGGTAGACAGTTGCTTCCAGCATCTGAGCTGCTCCTGAGTTGCTAGTTGCCCTCCTGGGCCTCAGCCATGTGCTAGCCTGTCCAGATGTAACAAGGTAAATTAGCTGAAGTAGCCCACACCATCAGACTTTCAGGAATATCTCTGACCGTGCCCTCCACTTGTCCCTCCCTGCAATCTGCTTGAGTTCATTACTCCTGTGGCATCAAGACATGTGCTATCAGGTCCTCACCATGACAGTTATTGTAAGAATTGTCTTCTGGTTGAGGATGTGTGTGACAAAAGGTGTCTCTGCCCTGGCTAATAGCCAGCAGGTGTCAAAGTCTGTGCCTGCAGGACTGCTTGTTGCCATGCAGCATACTGATACATGCCTTCTCTTGCTTCAGGTCTTAAGCAACATGGGAAGAGAAGACTGAAGTTCCATCATGATCGGAGGCTTATTCATCTATAATCACAAAGGAGAGGTTTTAATCTCTCGAGTCTACCGGGATGACATTGGGTAAGTGCTTCTGTTGCATCCCTGGTCTTTGCATTTCTGTCTCATTTTGGTGCAGACAACAACCCAGAGCTGCTTTATTCTGCATTAGCTGTGCATGCATGTAAGACTGCAACTCAACTTGCTGCTCTAGGCTTAGTTCAGGGGGAAAAAAAGAAGTGTTAAGCCCTGGTCACCTACAGATGGTTGTAAAGGATGGCCTGCAGGCAAACCTGGGACTTTCTTTTGGACAGTAGGGAGCTGGCTGTTACTGCAAATGCTTCAGCAACATGTCCTGCCACTGTGGGACTCTGCCAGCCTCCTCACTGTAATCGTTAAAACTCTATGGGAGCAGTAATGTGGGAACTGTCTGCCATGCACTATAACCAGGGCTCTGAATTAGTTTCAAACACAGATGTCTAGCATCAAGTACAGGCATGCAGAAGACTGTCTGTGGTCTTGGAAAGTTATGTCTGCAGGCAGTCTTGTAGTAACCACAGCTGTACACTTAAAGTTGGCATTCTGTCCCCCAACTTTCTATGGCAGCCTTGCATGTGAAAAGCTTACATTCATTGGATAATTAAAGTTGTGGGAAGCACCGAAAAGTATCAGTAGATTGTAGGTGTCTTGTTGCACTTCTTGTTGCATACAAGTATTACGATGTTCACTTAGACTGGATCTGTACAATCCTTAGGCTGCTAGCTCCCAGAAGGGACCTTACTAAAAATTTGGTGTCTCATAGGCAGTGGATATAGTGCTATGAGGAACCCGATATCAAGTGGTGATGATGCTTGGACTGAAAAACTTAAGTGGCTTTCTTGCACAACACTACTCTTCCTAGTGGTTTTTCATTAGTGTTAGCTAATGGAAGCAGGGCTGTGGTAGGTGTTAATTCAAATTCCAAAGAGAGACATCCTTCTGGCCAGTTCAGGAAAAAAATAGTCTGTACCAAGTCTCCACAGTGAATAGTGGTAGGATGTGCTGTGAAATGACGTGTTGCCTTGAATTATAAAAAAACTGTCAAGCCAGTCTGCCTTTAGACTGCTCTAGTCTGAAGAGTGTGTCCTTTCTGGTTATGGATTGTCTAGTGGAGGTTAGAAGTTGAGGTAGAACTAGTAACTAGTCAAGGCTTGCACTGTTTCATTGGTGGAGTAGCAGTCAACGCAGTGCCTGTAATAATGCTTCACCTTATGAGCTTTAAATCTCTTGGCTTGTTCTAAGTCAACTAAGGCAAAGTAGCTGTTCTAAGGTTGACTTAAGTTATTCCAGGACTTCCGCACGGAGCTGAGCCAAGGAAGCATTGCATTTCTGAAGCAGAAAACTGCTGGCTACAAAGTTTTGCCTCTCCTCTGCCATGCTAACTCATTTCAGTCTTGAATATTTCTTAGCTGAAGCTCTTCAGAGCAATTCATATGCCAGATCTGACTTTGTAAAGTTCCCCTAATGAATAGGTGTCACAGTGACTGAGCCAAGCCAGTCTGGATTATAGATAAATTTTGAGACTATGTTGTGGGGGGGTAGGGACATTTACTGCAGTTTCTGGCAAAAATATTCTTTTTGAGGCTTGCAAACTTAAAGCACTTAAAGATGGGATTGTGCTTGAACTGATGTCTATTCAAGAAGGCCTTTTAATTTAAAGGGCATTCTGGCTGCGGAGATGTAAACTAGGGAGTGTAGTTATTTTTAATGTAGTGATTTTATATAGCTTTTTATCTTGGCTCATTCCTCTTGTAAAGTGAGTGACTTGTGTTCAGTACATGGTAAAGTACTTCCTGCCGGCTGGCCAGGCAAAACTAGAAAATGGGTTTTCCTGCCTAATCCTATCTTGACTTTTTTATTTGACAAAAGGTGCCAAAAAGATTCAAGTGTTTTCTTTGGGACTTCATGAGTCAGTGTTCACTTGAGTGAAATCCTCCATTCAGTTCCTGTGAAAGTGTTGGTCTTGTGACTTAGGTGGAGCTGGTGCTGGCTGTTAACCAAGCTTGCTCCCCAAGGTGTTCGATTCCTTCTGAAACAGGCCTTCAAACCTGGTTTGGAATTTTTTAGATGTGTAACCTTATAAAACAAGTTGTCTTAAAATTAGGCTATGTCTTATGTTGTAGTGTAATGGAGTAACTGAGAATCTTCAGCAGGCAAGTGGAGTTGGATGTCCCCCCTTTCCTATTCTGAACACTAGCATCAATACCAGGTCTGCTTAAAAGCTCTCAGTATCCTAACCTTCAGAGGGAGGTAGAGAAAGGAACAGCCATGATAACCGTAGTTTGTACTCAACTCTATAGGAGTTCTATCTCTAACCAACGAACCAAGTGATAGATTTCTAGAACACTATATGGTTTTTCATTCCTAAATGATAGAACTGAAGTGCTGAGGGCTGAGCCCATCAGCATGTTGGGAGGTAGGTTGAAGGGGAAATCTGCATAGCTGCTGCCTGTCATCATGTGGGCTCTGAGCCAATTGACGCTTAAGACTCTTGGCACTTGCCTTTGGCATTCTGAAGCCTCAACGTATGTGTTGGGAGAGATTAAAGGTTATCTGTGGTTATGAGAACCCCTCCCATTGCACAGTTTAAGGGTCTAAATAAGAAGGTACTAGCTCAAATGCTAATGAGCAAAGTGGTGATCAGTGAAGAAACCTGTCCTTTGACTTTGTTAAATGCAGAAGTACCACAACACTTGGACTTTCTTTGCTTGCAACTTAGAATGGCTTTAGTGCATGTAGTGCATCTGTCCATACAGCAGCTAGCTGCATGCATAAGCAGCCTCCTAAAAAAAAAGGCAAAGCACAATGCATTTCATTCAGGATGCCATAGAGGGCTCTACTGTGATCTTCAAGTGCCTTGTTCTTCAGTGACATAGTCATTGGGAGAACCTACCTGCATTTAAGAATGTAGCTATTTAATAAAAATAAACTATTTGAAACTAAGCACCTTACATGACAAACTGCATGCACTTTAAGCGTAATAGGCATTTGGTTTCTGAGCTTCTAATACATCACTTCGGCTTCATGGCTCTTGATCCTTAAGGAAAAAAGTGCAAGCTGGATAGAGTAGTGTCTGAACCTGCAGGATGTGCCTTATCTCTCCAGATGTGCTCCAGCTCTATCAAACTTGCTGCATTTCCTGTTGGCTGGACCCAGCCAGAAAGCATCAACCCAAACAGCTTCAAATGAGAATACTGTCATGGAAATGCCCACTCAGACTTGCAGCCCTGTTCTGTGGCAGGCTGGGAAGAAGATACCTTATAGGCTCTGGATAGAGGCTTTGGGGTTTTTGCCTTCCAAGGCCTGCTACATGTATTAGCAGAGCAGACTGGGTATCACTGATGTGATACGGATGCAGCTCATCTCGACTAAATGTCCAGTTAGCCCTAAAATTCAGCCAACTACAAGTCTGTCCACACTGGCAGCCTGACCATGGTATGTCAGTGTTGTGCCTTGCGAGGGCTTCATTGCTACCACAGCTTGTTACTTGTCCATCCGATGCCACCTTGGCCTTTTGTGCCGAGGAGCAGGGGGAGGGGGTGCTGTTTGGTCTCTCCTTATCTCTTTGGATTCATTGTGCCTTGTGTGTGTGTTTCTAACCCTTTCTCTTGTTGCTGTCACTCCTCCTTTCTCCGCTGGCGCCATTTCTGTCCATCCCATCTCATTGGCTGCTGTAGCAATAGGTAAGAGACGCGTGGTAGGCCATGACTGGCACTGCACAGTGGGCAACTGGTGTGCTAGAAAGCTTCACTGACCTGAGGCTTCTCCTCTAGCCTGCACCAGTCTGGTTGCAGATTCTGGTACTAGTTCTAGCGGGTTAGAACTTGAGGCTGGGAGGGCTAATGCTCCAGAACAAGCTGAACTTTCCTTGCAAGGCTTACTGGAGGGGAGGAATGGGGCTTTTGGATATTGTTATAGTAGATAAAATTGCTTTCTTATGGAAAAACTAAGGTAGAAATGAAATATTAATTTAACTCAAACTTGCAAACCTTCTGAGGCAATAAAACCTGAGAAGTGTTTGAAGGCCAGGATTTTGCTTATGGGGGAGCATGTTTACTGATGAAGCTTCTACATATGTACCCAGACCTTCAAGGAGCAAACACCTGCTGTGGTAGCATATGTTCCTTTGAGTATCCTTTGTTTTCAAACATGGAAGTGTCTGCTGGATTGTTGAAAACCCTCAATGCTTACAAGCATTTGTATGCCTGTATCCTTGCTTGCGAGGATATTATTACTGTCTGCTCTCAAACATGGTTCTGCATAATCAATACCATGGCCTTGATGCTGCAGTCAGAAGACGCATTGTTCAACGTAGTCTCTTAAGTGTATGAGTAATAAAGCACAACTAGATGAGTCTTGGCTTGATGTGTAGGCTATTGCTTTAAGTCTTGGTCTTGTCATATAAAGCACTTAGGCTTCATTCCTGTGTTCTTAGGTGAACTTTAACTTAATTGGGGGAGTCTATCCTGATTTGTAGCTACAGGATAAGTAAACTAGTGTGTGGAAGAGCTGGCACCCAGAATGCCACCTGGACATCCCTGTTTACCCAGGAGGGATTTGTTCCCTGTCACTAATATATAGACAGTTTGGATTAAAGATGGCAGCAGCTAGGGGAAGGTTGCACAGCACCTTTTTGGCACTGTGCAGAACATCTTTTCTTTACCATAAATGGTACTGGATCATCCAGTGCACATAATGCAGCCCTACTAGCACATTGCACTGTGGGGACCATAAGTCCATGTGCAAGAGACCTGTTCTGAAGCCTAGCAGGCTTGAGGGGACATGTGGAACTGGAAAGCCAAAAATGTTCCTAATCCTGCTTGGTGCTTTGAGCCTGCCCTCCATGGTGCCTGGGGTATGGAGGCGAGGTGGATCTGAGAACCAAAGCTCCCTTCCATGGTGTACCTGGGAACTGACTTCTGTCAGGTGACCCAGGTAGGTTTTGCTTTTTTTTTTTTTCCCCTCAGTGGTATGTCTGGGAGGGACTGCCATCAACCAAAATCTTGGGGAACTACAGCTTGCTTTGGGGCAAGAGTATGAAGGCCTGGGCATGCAGAGTGACCAAACACCTAGTTACTGTCAAAAACTGGACTCTTCTTTGAGCCATAAGCTGCTACTGTGTTTGTTCCCAGCTATGGCAATCAGTCATGAGTGCTAGCAAAATTAATTGAGGGGAAGGTTCCTTTGCCATCTGACTCTAGATGGAGGTTAGCTTCTCCTTCTGACTATGGTTGCACTGTAGTCCAAAGCTCCTTAGAGACCAGTAGCACTCTGCCTCTCCTTTAGTTTGTGCAGTTTAATGTCTAACTCTGCTCAGAGCCTTCACTTGTCCCTCTTAGAGACATCCACAGGCACCCTTCCTGAGCAAGCTTGGTTTATGTAGTTCAGTGTCTGACTGTAATCACATAAGCAGAACTGTGCAGCCAGCTTGTTTTCATGTGCGTTGTGCTAACTTGTCTTTGGTGATGATCTCGTAGGCGGAATGCCGTCGACGCCTTCCGCGTCAATGTCATCCACGCACGGCAGCAGGTACGCTCGCCTGTCACCAACATCGCCCGCACAAGTTTCTTCCATGTCAAGCGTTCCAACATCTGGCTGGCTGCTGTCACCAAGCAGAATGTCAACGCTGCCATGGTATTCGAGTTTCTTTACAAGATGTGTGACGTGATGACTGCCTACTTCGGGAAGATCAGTGAGGAGAACATAAAGAACAACTTTGTGCTGATCTATGAGCTACTGGATGGTGAGATGTTTCCCTTACTTGTTATAGGATATAGCACTTGGTCATTCTGAAACCCTTAGCTTAGTTTGATGTAGTAATAATACTTGAAGATTTTTAACATGTGTGACTGAGTTCAAAATTACTTGTTCTGCTTTCTAATGCCACCTGTACTATAAGTGTAGATAACATCTCAAGCCCATAGCCTTGTGTTGATTGTGGCTCACTTTGCTGAAGTGTTGGGAGCTGTGCAGTTGTATAAATGAGGCAGCTGGTACTGAGCTCCAGCTTCTGAGTGGATCCTGTGCAGATGCAGGGCTATTGTTATGCTGAGGTATATAAAGAGGGCTGTCATTAGCACCTCTTAAGGCCAGCCATCCCAGCTAGTGCCCAGGTGGCTCTGACACTCTATAGTAGCAGTCACCCCAGGCTGCAGTTGGTTGCCACTCTTGGGTTGCCTCTTGGGGGCAGTTCTGAAACCGAAGGAAATCAATAAAACCCAACCTGCTCTGTCCCAACCCTGGCTCCCCCAGTGATACAGCACCAGATTTCACCATAGATTAATAATACAGTGTCCCTTCAGCTGTTCGTGATATCAGCCTGCCTGTGGAGATTGCCCTTGAGCTGTCCCTGTTTCACATAACATGAACACTTTGTATTAGTTATGCTTCAGTTTGTTTTCCAGACAAGGTACCATGCGTGTGTGTCCTGGGATTCTTAGCCAAGGGTTGCAGTGACTGATGGGTTCTCTGTTTCCTCTGGTCAGATCAAAAGACTGCTGCTTCTCTGCTTTGGTTGGTCACTGCTGTCTCCTAGTACGCATAGTGAGATCAAAACCTGCCAGTGTGATGTTATGCAGTATTCACGTTGGTGATCTTCTCTCCCCTCTATATCTCTTGTGGGTTGTTCCCTTCCTCTGAGGGGAGTGGGTGTTAAGTGCAGTAGCTGTCTGTGGTTAACATCTGTTTCCCTCCCACACTGATCATCCTGCAGTGCCACTACTTTGCTGTTATTTTTTTAGGTTTTGATTTTTATTACATCTTCATATGAAAATCAAAACCTAAAGAAAATGCTGCAAAGATAGATTGTTCTACTGTTGAATAAACCCTCTTGTCCCTTGGATGGTTTTGGAAAAACTCTTCAGTGTACCCTGTGTGCATGGCTAGTTTAGTTGATATTTAGTCCTGAAGTGCAGTTGTATTTAAAAACCAGCAAATTCATCAGTTGGGCAGCTTTCCATCACCCCTGCTCTCCAAAATACTGCACAGGGAAGTCAGTTTAGCAAGGCTGTTTCTTTTTCTCTTGGTAAGGAATGCTCTAGCAACTTATCCAGAAATTTAATGTGTAAGCAGTGTCTGTGTGTGGCGCTGTCCTTATAGGAATGGTTAGTGTGGCTGGCATGTTTATACCTTGCAGCTCTCAACTAACCTTCTTTTACCCTTCTGTAGAAATCCTGGATTTTGGCTATCCTCAGAACTCTGAAACAGGGGCCCTGAAGACCTTCATCACTCAGCAAGGCATCAAGAGTCAGGTAACCAGACGAATGCTGCTCTGCAATTAAAAATTAAATTTTTAAATCAAAATTAATCAAATTTTCTGTAAGCCCTATCAAGAAAGTACGGTCTTAATTGCCAACTAACCATTTGACCTGTGTTGAGTGGAGGTGCCTAGGCAGATTGACAATACCCTGGCAGGGATGTAGCTCAGTGGCATCTCGTTCTAGGTGCCTCTGCGCTTGTGTGACCATGTGTTCCCTGGTGTGTGGTAAGATGCAGGAGGAAGGGCCCTGAGCTAGGATAATGCCAGTCCCTTGCATGTAAATGATTACTGGTGTCAGGCTCTGTTCTGTGTCAGCTCCTGACAGCATAAACAGATCTA